AAAAAAAAAAAAAAAATCACACACCTAGTCATGCAGAGTGCTTCTACAAACATTTGTGAATGAATGGGTCGCTCTCAGGAGCTCAGTGAATTCTAGTGACAGGATGCTGCCTGTGCAGTGAGTTTTAAAGTTTCCTCACTGCTAAATATTCCAAAATAAACTGTTAGTGGTCTTATAACAAAGTGGAAGCAATTGGGAACGACAGCAACTCAGCTACAAAGTGGTAGGCGACGTAAACTCACAGAGCGGTGTCAGTGGATGCCGAGGCACATAGTTAACAGAGGTCACTAACTTTCCGCAGAGTCAGGAGAACCCTACTTGTCCAACTGCATTGTGTAAAGTATGATGGAGAGGGGATTATAGTGTGGCATTGCTCTTCAGGAGTAGGGCTCGGCCTTTTAGTTCCAGTGATAGGAACTTAACTGGCCTACACAGAGTGCTGATCTCACAGAACACCTTTGAAATTAATAAGAGCGGAGTCTGAAAGCTGGGTCTTCTCATCAGTCATCGGTTTCTGACCTCATAAATGCAGTTTTGGAAGAATGGTCAAAAATTCCCATAAACACTCCTAAACCTTGTGGAAAGCCTTCCCAGTAGAGCTGAAGCTGTTATATTTTCAAAGGGTGTGCCAACTTCATATTAAATCCTGTGGATTAAAAATGGGATGCCACTCAAGTTCATTTGCGTGTGAAGGCAGACAACTGAATACTTTTTGCAGTATAGTGTCTCTTCCGTCTTTATTTTAAGATAAAAGAGACAAAGAACAGAAATGGAAAATTAAACCCTCACACAATGTGAAGCTCTCTGATTGAGATGATCAGTCAGGGTATTTACATTTTATTTGCCAGGTCACATAGTTTTAAATCTATGCTGGCAGGTTGCCAGTTTTTTCACATGTTATTTAAGGTTTGAGCAGTCAATATTAACTGTCTTCACTCAAACTGGTGTTTGAGTTTTCCTGAACTGAGCATCTTTCATCAAGACACATTGTTCAGAATGCCTCATGATCTCACAGTAGGTAATGCATACCAAAAGCTCTTTTTTTATCTCAGTAAAAAGAAAACTCAGTATTTTCATGTAAGAGAAATACAGAGAAATCATGAATTAATTAAGAGCGCTGACAGATACTAGTTGTCTGGTCACTGTGACAAAAAAAGCAAAGACACCACACAGCTGATACTTCAGGAGCCTGTCAGGGCAGTAAGAACAAACACACACACACAAACACAGCAGTGGGCAACAGGTTGTCTGTTGGTTACAAAGACTTACTTGTAGCCATGGGGCTGCAGGATTGCATCACTGAAAGTAATACAAAGGCCAGAAAAATCACAGCCATTGTTGCCCTGAGCAAGAAACTAAACTCTAACCTGGTTCCTTCCTCTTGCTTGAAGCTTTGCTCCTCTTTTGCTGCAGGCTGACTCGATTCAGTATAAAGACTAAAGCAGACACCCCAGGCATACTGCCATATTGGCTTCTTGTCCAGTACGTGTCAGCTTGGTAAGTTAGGTTCTCTACATTTAGTCATGCTTTACAAAGACATTTACTTTACCTTGCATCAATTAACTTTCAGCCATTTGTAAAAGCTATGCTATCACTTTTAAAGCCGGCAAGCTTGCTAACAGTTGCACACCTCTAAATGATACAAAGCAGGAGTGAAACTTGTGTGAAGCCATGTGTTGGTCCATCTAATCAATATTAGTGCAACTTTCATTCATTTCAGCTCAATTTATGTTATATTAGCTCCCTATGCCATGAATTTATAAAATCCAATCAAAATTAAATGAAATCACAGACCTGAAAGCTACAGCTCAATAGGAATTGTGGTAACAACATAATTTTACTTTATAAAAAAAATAGAAAATCATCATAATCATCTTCCAGCCCATCAATATTTATTTCCCTAGTTTCTAGGTTGTGCCAAAAGTAGCAATAGTGGTTAAATACATCCTCTTCCACTTCCCCATTTTCCCCAGTTCAACCCTGCCTTTGACAATCCTTTAACTCATGAATGCCAAAGAACAGACTGCTGACATAGCACAAATCAGAGGAGTGTCCCTCAAGGTTTTTTCACTCATCAACATCTGGAACAGAAACTTAATTTATGTACTACAAAAATATGATTAAGATAATCATCAGCCAAATATGGCTGATAAGAATCTAATCTTAAAAACTCAAGTACTCTTCACACTATATCATGCACCATCAGCAAGCATCTAACTGTAATCAGCCTGTGATTGGATGCATTAATCAGTTCTTCACATGTTCACATTTACAGATAAACAGATGGGCATATGAAAGGGTAGAAAGTACCTGGTATATCCATGAAATCATCCAGGTTGGGCTGCAGTGGAGTCAAGCCTGGTTGAATCATGTCAGCATTGCTGGTGTATGCTGAAGTGGAAGAGAACATAATAATAGATGCATGCGTGAGAAAGAAATGCTCTAGTGCTATTGTGTTTTTTGGTTGTTGTTTTTTTTTGACAAGTCATCTTTCATCATAGGGAATTTCCTTATTTGTAATGTGGGTTTCATTGGCTGAATTGCTAACCCATGTGACCAGCAGACAGAGTCACCAAACTGAGGTAGGAACTTAGAAAGTGAAATACTTCTACATTATATTAAAGCATAGTTTGGATTTGTTTGCCCTCTTGCTGAGAGTTAGAAGATGAATCTTTCATCAAAGGCTGTTTTTAACATAGATTAGCAAAAAGTGGACACTGGTAAATGGCCTGCATTTGTATAGCACTTTACTCAGTCCCTAAGGACCCCAAAGCGCTTTACACTACATTCAGTCATTCACACACTGGCAATGGCAAGCTACGTTGTAGCCACAGCTGCCCTGGGGCGCACTGACAGAGGCGAGGCTGCCGGACACTGGTGCCACTGGGCCCTCTGACCACCACCAGTAAGCAAACATGGGGTTAGTATCTTGCCCAAGGATATTTGGCATGCAGCCAAGAGGCAGCCTGGGATCGAACCACCAACCTTCTGATTAGTGGCTGACCTGCTCGGCTACCTGAGCTACAGTCACCCCAGACACTGGCAGAAACAGCCAGCTGGCTGTGTTTAAAGGCAACCTGTCCACCTGCCAGCTGAAGAAATCACATATCTTATTTGTTTAGGTTGCACAAGAAACAAAGTGTTGATGGGGACTTCCTGCTTTGCCTTGTTGTTCCCTTGTCACCGTGAGATGGCTTGGAAAACAGCACAGACTCCAAAATGTATTGTTTCTGATAGTCCCCAGCTCTGACTGAGCTTTAGGCGTGCTGATCCACATTGCCTTTTTACCCATGTTTTCATCTTTTTAAGCTAGGACAACCATCTGCTGGGTAAAGGCATACTTTGAACAGACAGATAATGAGAGCGTTGAGAAGTGCGAATGGATGACAGGCTACTGTAAAAAAAAAACAAAAAAA